ATAGCCTAGCATCTCTGAAGCCCCAAAGTGCGTGGGTCATTGTTTGTGTGATTTCTCCGTGTTCAAACAGCCCTTTTTGGTGGTATCGTGGGTTGTATTTCAGCAACAGGAGTATGCATTTGATAATGCAAAGACAGCTGGCAGGTGAACGACTTTCGTTGGACATAATCAGAACGCACAGGTTAGAGAATACATGATTCCTTTCTGCTTCTTAAATAACACCGTAGTTTCATGGTCTTTGTTCACCCGATCTTCAGTGATTATTCGTGCAAAAAATAATCTTACTGTTGAGAATGCTTGTGACTTAGTGCCTGCATAAGAGGTTTACATAACACAAGTTGCCTGCATATCACAGAAATACAAAACATTAAAATTCATAGCAACATGATCAAGTCTTTTCGGAAACCTCCCATGTCTGTGCACCATTATTTGCACACTGTTTCCATGTTGATAGAGTACTTCGATTGGCACTGGGTGTACATGTTTTTCGGCAAAGTGATCCACATCTGAAATAAAACGTGTAGGAAGATTCTCAGTTTTCGTTGAATACAGTCTGAACAAACAAGTAAGCAAATATTTGTAAATACTCTCTTGCCGTGCTTGTTCGCAACTGTACTTTAAATCAAACAAGGAGAACGTAATTTGAACTTTCCGAGTCGATCGTTCTTTGGTGATTTCAAGAGAAAACGGAATAGATATTATCGGACCCATAGGCGTACGAGCTGGGGCGNAGTTTGTGTGATTTGCAAAACTCGTAAATAAAGTTACTAGTTAGTTTCTTTTTTGAGAATTTTTTCTTTTGATGCGTTTTAGATTTTACTCGGATTGAGACTGTTCATAGAGTATGATTGATTGATGTGAGCTTTAAATATAATTGTTTTTGGAATTATAGCAGTTTCATTAGATATGGGAATTGTGAACATTTTTGTTTTTCATGCAATTTGAGTGCGTTCGCATCCTGATTTCAACACTCTCGCATTCCGGCATTGCGTAAATTTTTCGGGCAAGAAAGTCACCATCCCCCCAAGTCCGAAGGTGCCCGTACGCCTAATGTTCACAGCTGTACTTTAAATCAAACAAGGAGAACATAATTTGAACTTTCAGTCGATCGTTCTTTGGTGGTTTCAAGGGAAAACTGGATAGATATCATCGGACTTCAATTTAACCATAAAATATTATACATGTTATCTTTGTTCGTGAAAAGAAATAACAACAACAAGAACAACAGCAACTCCAGATCCAACTCCCAAATTCACAAGGTTATT